TGGTTGGGTTTTTCTTTGCTTGCTTCTTCAAAATGAGATAAAATACACAAATACTTTTTTTTTTTTTTTTTTTTTGCCATAAAGAATGAATTCTAAACCAATTCTGAACCAATTTCAGGACTATTTCATTTAAGAGAGGACATCAGCAGAGTCCCACTCAACTCTGGAAGGATCTAAACCACAGAAATAGTTGCTCTGAAACAGAAACCTGGGAAGAAAACAATTTTCTGCCCCTTTCAGGATCTGGTGAACCTCCTGCCCAGGGTAAGCTTATCCCCAGTGAAAAAAAATCTATTTTTTTTCTATAGTTTTTTTGAGGGTTTTCTTGTTTCTTTGTCCCTGTAGGCTCGCAGGTGTCTTGGTGGTGCTACCTTTTGGAACATTTGGGGTCCTTGGTCCTTTCTTTGCCATTTTCTGTGGGGCTTTCTTGTCTGGTTTTGTTTTTCTCTCCCTTTTTGAAGCCATTGGTTGTCTCTCTTGGTCAGCTCTGCAGCTGTCGGCCTTTTTGCCCTGTTGTTTCTGCAGGCTGGAGGGTGGTTGGAGATTTTCTTAGGCAGGTTTGTGGGTGGCTGGCCACGTTCCTCGTTGGTGCTGCTGTGCCTGGGTGGGGTCTTTTTTTTTTTCCCTTGTAGTTTTGCAGATATTTGTCATTTTTTTTTTTCTGCTAACTCTTCCAAAGAAGTCACAGGAAGGAGGCACTTCTCCAAGCCACTAAACGGGATCAATTCCCTTTCAGGACAGACTGCTCTTCAGAATTCCTCTGAATTCTTCCCAATAAGACAGGACGAGGAAACAATTTTCAAACTTGCCAAATATTTTAACTTATCTTTCAAGATAGACTTTTTTTTTCTTTTTATCATAAAGGATGAGATCTAAACCAATTCTGAACCAATTTCAGGAATATTTCATCCAAGAGAAGACATCAGCATAGTCCTGCCTAACTCCAGATGGATTTAAATCATCAGAAATATTTCCTTTAAAATAGAAACATGGGCAGAAAACCATTTTCAGCACGTTTCCAGCATTTTTTTTTTTTTTTTTTTTTTTTTGGTAGATGTGCAGGTGGTTTTGGCTCTTTTTTCTTTTTTTCCTCTTTTTTTTTTCTTTTCCACCCTGAAATCTTCCAACTATGTCAGGGGGAGACAGCCATTTTCAAAGGTGCTAAATCGGCTCCATTCGCTTTTGACGACAGACTGCATTTCAGGAAACCTTCCTTAAGTAGTTGTGACTGCTAAGTAACGCAAATTTTCTTTAAGGACAGATGTTTCTTTTCTTCTTTTTTTTTTCCCTACTTTGACCAGTGAGTTACTGAGTTCTGAAATGATTCTGAACCAATTTCAGCAATATTTGACCTAAGAAACCACATCAGGCCAGTTCTCTTCAACTCTGGACGGATCTAAGCCACAGAAATACTTGGTTTAAAACAGAAACACGGGCAGAACACAATTTTAGCAGTTTCTAGATCTGGTGACCCTCATGCCCAGAGTAAATTTATCCCCTGTGAAACAGTCTTTTTTTTTTTTTTGAGGCTTGTAGGTGTTTTGGTCTTTGCGTTTTGCAAGTTTTGTGGCTGTTGGTCCATTTTTCTTCTTCTTCCAGTTTTCTGTTTAGTATGTCATGCAAGAAAAAAGTCCTGATCAACTCTGTAGGAGTTTGAAGCAGAGGAAATGCTTGAGGCCTCTATTTTTTCTTTGCCTTTTTTTTCCTTGTTTTCCCCCTGTTAGTTTGCATCTCTTTTTCTTTTTTTTTTTTTTTGTACATTTTTTCTGTATTTTTTTTAGGTATATTCTTTTTTGGTTTCTTCTTGTAGGCTTGCAGGTGTGTTAGTCTTTGACCTTTTGAAGTTTTATGGCTCTTGCTCCTTTTTGCCATTTTCTGG